GAACCTCAAGGTCAACAGTTTGAAACTACTAGTGGTTCCACGGGAGAAAGACGAGGAATTCTGCTCCCATAAAGATTTACAGCCTTGGAAACCCTGTGCAGGGTTACTATGAGTTGGAACGAACTCCACAGCACTTAACAACAATAATTCATGTTATAGGTCACTTATTCCCCCAAAAGTAGCCCTTATAACCCACACCTTTGATTTTGCCAAAACAATAAAGAAATAAAACATACACCTGATCCTTTACAGTTCTACAGCATAATGGGCTTGAAATTCAAAGCATTTTATGAAAGGAAAAAAATGGAGATTTCTATTATTTCATTCACAATTTTGTTGCTTCTTCTATTGGGAAGCTGTAAGATGTCCTTGAATAAGATCCTGGACACGGGACAAAATAATCTCATTAGAACTGATGCAATTTTCCGGGCCATAGGGTGGTTCTATAGTCAGTACCTGAGCCACACAGATTGTCTGTTGCGATTCTCCCTGTTCAGTAACAGGGATGTGGTTCTTCTCTAGCCATGCCTTTAGGCTATTCTTTCTCTTTACCAAATCCTCAGGGCTGTATGCTTGGCAGTCTCCAGACGTGAACAAATGAATCAGCTTCTCGCTCACTCTCTGGTCCCCATCGTTCACAATTTCAACAGTCCGTATAGCATGTCCCATAACTCCTGTCACAGACATGCTGCCATCTTCAAGGAAATTCACGAGGACAATACTTTGGAGGAAAAGTAAATTAAAAGCACATTAAAGAGAAAACAAACCAAAAACAAAGAAAACTCTGTTGTTATTACTAAGTGCGGTTGAGTTGGTTCCGAGTCATAGTGACCCTGTATAGGGTTCCTGAGGAGAAGCCGGTGAGTTTGAACTGCCGACCTTGTGGTTCGCAGTCCAGTGTTGATCCTATTGCAAGAATCCATAAACAATCTTAAAGCTCCATAAAACTATGGAAGAAGCAATTAAAGAGGCATTATCAATCCAAACAGGAAAATCAACTAAACCAACTGACTTGAATTAAAGGGAATTTCTGACTGAAATTCATCCTCTCACCACTAAGGGTTTTTGCTTGTTCAACAAGCATTTATACTTTCATAAACTAAATCTAGTCATTGTGGGATACAATTCAAGTACTATTTATAGTTATGAGTACCCTACATGTATACATTAAAAAAGAAAACAGAGTGTAAATTTAACTTTGGGTTACAAACACAACAGTAACAACTGGATAGCACCCCAAACTAAAGCAGCCAAAAGAAAATATAAAGCACAAATTAAAAAATACAAAACGCATAAGTCAATACATTTTTTAAAAATCATTAAAGCCAAAAGTTTGTTCTTTGAAAAATATACATGAAGGAACTTTAAAAATGATATTAAAATGTAATGGAAAGAACAAACAAGATGGCGGATCGAGTGGAAGTGTAGTAAAGAGCTCAGTCAACAACAACACAGAATACGCGACCAAGAGGCTCAGGGGATGGTCCCAGACCTCTGAACCACATATAAAGGAATATTTAGAAGGTTGGAAGGCTTACAGCTAGGGGAATTTGTGGCAGAAGCAGGAAATCCATTGCTTTCTAGTCCAGGACGCTCAGCTGCTTCAGGAGCCGCCATCTTGAGTGAGACCAAGGGGAGGCGGGGGAAGGATCGGACCAGCTGCAGACGCCTGACAGAACCGCAGAGATAAAGGTGTGGACATTCCTTTCTTTTGGTAGCTGTTCATTGGTCCCTTGCTGTCTGTGCACCTCCATTCTGGTGACCATTGGGGTGCCTGAGCTCCTGGGCATACCAGCCCCACCCTCGGAGGGTTCTGATCTCCTCGGAATTTAAAGAGATAGTTTCAAATTAAAACCAAACGGCCACAGCCAGCCCTGAGCTGTTTACAACTAGAAAAAAG